CACTGTACGGCCCGCGGTAGATTTCAAGCAACCGATCCATGCAAGATTCTGAGGCGTTTGCGTCGGTTTGATCGGTACGGATCTTGGAGAGTACATTGCAAAGATCGGGACGCTTGTTATTGTGAAATTGTACACAACCGATAACGGAGTCAGCATGAGCATCAACGTTACCGAACGAATGGCGGTGTCGGTCAGCACTGTCATGCCCACGCACTCGAAGAAATCGAACTCCGACAAGCTGTCTCGGGGGCGGGGGTGTGATGTCTTGTGTGGAATGCGATGGCCCAATCCGGCGACATGTTCTGCATTTTCTGCTGAAAGCAATCGTCAAAACCAGACAAATCAACCACATCAAACAGTTTTTTTTTTTTGCTGTGCGTAGGTTGGCGCTGTTTGGCTACCGACCTAATCCTCACTCGTTCAAGCGCTAGCGATTTCGCTCCTTTGGGTACCCTGTGCGCTTGAAGAACGCTCTTCCTCGCTCCCTTCCTCTCTTGCATGCTTTGGCAAACGAAGATGGCGTGCATTGGATCGGCTTTTTCCAGACCAGCGCTCACCACGGCAGATACCAGTGGTGGCTGAAGTATTACGTCGCCTCTGCTTCCCCTTTTTCGCGTGCTTGGCTCTTACGCACACTCACACCCTTTGGTTTTGCGGCAGTTATCTCACCTCGTATTCGATCTTGTGTTGGTGTTGTTGTCGTTGTTGTTATGTGATTTCTTGTATGGATGATTATCGTGTCCCTGGGACATTCTGTATTTTGTGTGACGAACGCGTTTTCCTTTTCCCGTTATTCTGTCCTGCCTCTCCCTTTTTTATTGTCTTTACCAAGCTGAGGGAGGGCGTCGCCACCCAGGAAGAGCTCGACGAGATCAAGAAGTCGGTTCTTGAGTCCTATGAGAAGGATTTTGAGGTGAAGTGCGGCACTCATCGGAAGAGGAGGGACGTGAAGTGAAGTGAATCGCCCGCATTTGTCCTCATGCCTTTTCATCACGATCAGATCGTACACTTCACGTGGTAAGCTGCGCTGCCCGAAGTTTGCTTGCCGTATGTTCGTGCGTGGTTGATGTGTTGTTTGCTTTTGTAGTTGATGTGGTGTTGTTGCTCCTGCTGTTGTTGGTGTTGGTTTTGGCGACAGTGGTGCTGCTGGTGCTGCTGTTGGCAGTAATTTCCTGCCGAAGTGTCCTTCGATGGGGTTCGTCATGGGCTTGTTTTTTTTTGAAAATGCCACGTCTTGTCTTTCTGTATGAATTTTTCAGGAGTGAACGAAAATGTAATGTCTGCTTCAGGGAACCACTTGTTGTGTGAGTTTTCATTCGAGAACGCCACTTTTTTTTTTTTTTCAATGCATCATCATGAAATGACCTGCCACGTGTTCTATATCTTTCTTGACTCATCGTCATGAAATGACCAGGAGTGTGTTTCATTTCGAGAATGCCACCTGTTGTCTTTTTCATGAAATGACTACCATAACCAGGAGTCCAAGTCGTGGGAACCGATAGGAGACGAGTGGCTATCGTCCAAGTGGTCCGGCTTCAAGTCCCCCCGACAGCTGTCTCGCGTCCGCTCAACCGGAGTCGACATTAACATGCTCCGGTCCGTCGGTGAGTTTTTTTTTTTTTGATGGTGAAGCAAGCGTGTCTGTCGAGCTGTTGTTTCTGAATTTCCCACGGTGAAATTTTCATTTGTGTGAGTGAAAAATGAGGTGTGGGTGTAGGGGTAAGAATGGTTATGGACGTGCGGATTTGTGGAGGTGGTTATGTTTTGATGATGTCTATCGATGGAGTCCTCCTCAAAGCGTCCGTTCCACACACGACACGCTACCACCCCTCGCTAATAATGGTCCGTTTCACACACGACACGCTACATCCCTGCTTTCCCGTGATGGAACTCCTCCCTGGTGGTCGGCGCGTGTCAGGGTCGAAGATGACGACTCCCCCTACTGGCTTCGCCCTCCACCCGATGCTGGACAAGATCTACAAGGCTCGCCACAAGGTCTGAATGAAGTTGGCGGAACTTTCTGAAGTTGACAGAACTTCCTGAAGTTGACGGGACTTCTTGTGCACATTTTGGGAAGAAGGGCGTGCGTTGCGGGGCTTGCTTGTGCGGTAATCGGCATCGACCGCGCTTCCGTACACGGCTGTGACAAACGAAGAGACGGACGCCAGTGCCAGCGGGCGTGCGCGGGTGGGCGTTGGCGCAGGCGGGGCGTTATTGTTGGTGAACTGTTTAGTTTTTCGGTTGTGGTGCTACGTGTTTTTTTTTTTTTGCTGTCTATGCTGCCGTCGTCCCTGTGTCGGGGCGGCCCAACTTGCGTGCGGCCACCACCCGGTGGAGTAGAGGTAT